CATGCCGCTCGTGCGGGCAATGTGAATACAATGATAAACTCGAGCAGCGTGATCGGAAGTGCGCCCGCTGTGGACGCAAGGTGAAGCTCTACGTCCAGAAGCCCAAGAGCCCCAGCGCGCCGAAGGGTATCATCAAGAACGTGAGCTTCGCCAAGGACAGCGATGCAGGAAGCAATCAGTCCACGCCCCGTAGCTCCAAGGCGGGCAAGGGCTCGCGTGGACAGGCTGGTGAACCATCAGCCCGCAGCCTCCTGGAGCAGGCGATCGCCGCCGCGCAGGACCCCAAGCTGAAGGACGCTCTGATGCAGCAGGTCGCCCAGCTCAAGCGTGAGGAGGCTCGGCAGCAGCAGCCCCAGGACGCACTCCCCTCTCTCCAGAGGGCTGACAGTGCATGGAGGGATGCTAACAACCGCCACACTCAAGCAGTTCAGTCAGTTCTACGCATCCGTCGGCAACTGGAGGCAGCGGAGCTCAAGGAGCGTCGTATTGCCGAGGAGCTAGCGGAGGCTACTATCATTAAGCAGCAGGCCACGCGTGCTCTGGCGGCGGCCGAAGGAGTTGTGCCCAAGCCCGAGGGGAAAGCCGACGACAAGAGTGGCAAACCTTTCGAGCTCGTGTATGACCACACGCTGTTTGACAACCTTGATGAGTTGGAGTGCGAGGACTCCGAGAAGGAGACCTTGAGGAAGATTCATAGTGAACTACAGTCAGCCAAGACCACCCTTGACGGCAAGGCCGACGAGGTCACCACGATGCTGAAGAATGCCCAGGACATGCGCCAGGCCATCAAGGATCGCTTGATGAAGAAGAGGCGCACGGCCGAGGGCCAGGCCGCACCCCCCGCAGCGCCGCAGCCAGGCGAGGCCGGGGCCCCCGCAGCCAGTGGAGGCAGCGGCAGCCAGGCGGCGGCGGCGCCTCAGGCGCCCGAGGGTGCGGCAGCAGGCTCTGCCCCAGCTGATGGCCATGCAGAGCGTGTCCGCGCTGAGGCCGCCAAGCTCTCGGCCGCCAAGTTCCAGTCCCAGCAGCATCTGTCGGAGGACCCGACGCCCGCCTCATCTTGACTAGATGTGGCACCACCCAGCACGAGCGATGACCAGTTCACGCAGCTTCTGTTCGGCAACGTTACCGCCATGGGGGAGAAGGTGTGGAACTTCATCCGTAGGGCTCGTGAAAATGATAGCCATCAGATTTTTTGCTTAGTCGAGACGCATGTCTCCCGCACTGCCTTGCGTGAGTGGACGAAGAAGTCCCGTCAGTCTTGTCTCAGGTTAGTTGCCAACCCAGCTCGGGCTACAGGCAAATCCACGACTGCACGAGGCTTCGAGAAAGCCACCGAAGGTGGTGAGTGGATTTTGGCTCCTGGACACTACCAGGTGCACTCACTCGCCCCCCAGCTGAATATGCCAGAATATCAGTTTGACGGCCAGTCGGCCATAGATGGGTTCACGGCAGTTGTTGCTCACTTTTCAGGGTACTCAGTCGTGATTATAACCTTCTACGGTTTCACTTCGGTCGGCCTGGCCGACGATAATATCGCTCGCTTCGCGACTAGGAGCTTTTCTGTCCGCGCTCCAGCTGCCCTGGATTGTGGCGGGAGATTTCAACGCATCTTCGACGTCTCTCGCTGCCTCGGGGTTTTTGGCGCGAGTCGGGGGCGAGGTCGTAGAGGCCCCCATCGATTACACGTGCGACGCTGGAAAAAGTGGCAGTCACATCGATTATGTAGTTCGTAATTTCGCAGCTGCCGCGTATCTAGTAGATGTGCAGGCGGCCCTTTCAGTACCATGGAAGACTCATTGTGGTTTGCAGCTGACCCTTCGTTCGTCTGCCCGTCAGCTACTCGCACGCCGATTCGAGCTCCCAGCTCGTTTGCCCCAGGTGTCCAGGCCCGTCCGTGAACCCACACCTGGATCGAAGTCGCAGCGCGCCAAAGTTGAGCGTGCGGCTGCCACTCAGATTGCAGTCGAGAAGCGTCGAGATCGGCATCTAGAACTTTACGGTGACCTTTGGAAGGCTGCTGACGCTGACACGGTCGACAATGGCCCAACCAGCGCGGCAGCTCCAGCTTCGGATCCAGATGTTGACGAATTAGATCGGCTCGGTGAGGACCCCTGCGACCACCTCTTGGATGGATACGAAGAGGAGGATCCCTGGGCCGACGAGTCTAGCTTCTGCCCTCGTGCCAATCTGGGAACCGCCAAGGATACGCACACCTTGACCCACGCCGTCGTGGCGAAGGGTAGGCCGTCTGAGGTGGATCCTGGTGCGGCCGTGGAGCCCGCTGTCCAGCTCCCAGCCAGCAGCGACTCCAAGGTGGAGCCCATTTCGTCTTCGCAATGCAGAGCGCCCTCTTCTTCTCTGGGGGCTGCCGAGGTTACGACATCCGCTGGACACGCCGTCGTGGACAGCGGAATGAGTGCCGAAGCAGCGCCCAGTTGGGTGGAGCCCAACACTCGGCCTTTTGTCTGGAACCCCGGAGCGCATGTTTTCAAGTTGCCTCAGTACGCTCCGTGCATTGAATGGGGTCTGGTTCCTCCAGTGGATGCTGGTACACCGTCCGTTTCCAACGCGTCGATCACCCACCCCAGCGAGTTTCAAGAGCCGCCCCCCCAAGGTTTGGAGAACACCGAGGTCAGCTTCTTTATCCCAGCCGAGACCTGGATCGAAGCCAGGACGGCGGTCGGGTTCATCCCTGAATACCAGTGCCCCCCTCCCCTTGCCTTTGCATCGTCCGTAGCCGCTAGGCTTGAACCCTCATCCGTCGGCCCAGTCTCGGCTCTATATGCCTCATGGGTGACGGCGTTGGAAAGGACGGTGTACGAGCATCATGGGGTGGACGGCCCGCCCTCGGTGTCCCGTGGCAGAGGGTATTCTTTCAAAGTTGGCGAACAGCGTGTGCCCAATAAAGGTAGGCGAGTGCCATATCGTGATGTGGTTGCTTCTTGGTGGGAACGAGTCCACACGGTATTGCTGAGACTTAACAATCACCGTACGCGTGGAAACGGCTATGCCCAACAATCCCAATTGCAAATTGCGTGCCGTAACTTGTTGGCTGAATCACCTGACTTGGCCCACAGGGGCCTTCGAGAGGGAACCGATCCGCCTTGGGAGGTTTGGAAAAGTTTGCTTTCTCAGGGAGCCTCAGAAGAACAGCATGTGCTTGCAGATTTTGTCCACTCGGCTAGGAAGATAGCAGCTCGCTGTCGGTGCCGTGCCATGCGAGCTTCGATTTCTGAGTTCCGTGACTGGATGGCACAGCCCGCTGCGTCAGGCGTTTTGCACCGCGCAATGCGGCAAGAACCTATGCCCGTAGACGAGGTCACGGTCGGCCAGCAAGTTGTATTTCACCCGCGGGATATTGTTGATGCCAAAGCCAAGGTCTTTAGAGATCTCTGGGCCCCTGGACCTTTGGAGGAAACCAAGGTTCTGGAAGCTGTCGACAGAGCCCGAGTCGAGGCTCAACAGGAACCCCTGGAGCCAATCTCGGTTTTAGACATTCGCCAGGCTGCCCATGCGATGCGCCCTCGTGCAGGCATGGGTGTTGATGTTTTGTCGCCGACGGACGTCGAGCGACTGCCCGACGTTGCCCTTGACGAGTTAGCCCGCTTGTATGGAGTGATCGAAGAGACCCTCACTTGGCCAGCACAATTGGGTTTAACCATAGGGCGCATGATTCCGAAAAAAGCCTCAGGGGACAGGGTCATAGGGCTGCTCACGATGGTGGCTAGAATCTGGAGTCTCATACGCGAACCTTTGATTAAGACTTGGGCCAATGAGTCCGAGCCCATGTGGGACGCCGCGATTTCAGGAAATGCTGCTTTACGAGAGGCTTTTATGAGAGTCTGCGAGGAAGAGGTTTCAGGCACTCTTGGGATTCCCTCGGGCCATGGACTTCTGGACGTCCAGGGGTTTTACGACGCTATGGAGTGGTTTCTTCTCATACCAGCAGCAATGCGTTTGGGATTTCCACCAGTAGTTCTGGTTTTAGAGCTTGTACAATGCCTTATGCCGCGCGCAGTAGGTCAATGTGGAGCTTTCGCCGAACCCATACTCCCAACGAGAAGCATCGTGCAGGGTTTACGAGGAGGAACCAGGTTTGCAAGGTGCCTTACATATTTTATCCTTTCAAAGATTACTATCGCACATCCAGGTATGGGTTTGAGGATCTGGATAGATGATTTATCTCAGCGGGTCCATGCATCTCGAGCACAGCTGCGGCAAAGATTACTATCAGGTCTTTTGGGTACCTGCCGTGCTCTGCAGCGCGAATCCTTGACCGTTTCACCAAAGAGCATCGTATTGTGCTCTAACATTGCCGATGCGAAGTATATCTCCAAGAAACTTCAGGTCGCTGGTTTTGAAGTTCACCCCCAATCTCAGGCCGGTTACCTTGGGGTGGATTTGGGAGGAGGTACCCGACACGCTCGTCAGCAACGGTCGAAAAGAGTGGTGAAGGGCAAACAGATGCATCGGAAAGTAGTTGGTTTTGCACGTGCTGCTCGACGGTACAACGTCACCAGCAAGCTGACACGGGTCGGCACCCTGGCAGCCCAGTTCTACGGGCACCAGCTGCACGGCGTCTTTGGAGCCGCTATGCTAGGTGCTCGTCGTCAGCTCGGAGCGGCGTGCGGCACTGGAAAGAAGGGACGGTGTCTGACCACGCTGCTGGACATCAGATGCCCTGAAGGGGATCCTGCACGTACGCTGCCGCGGGCTTGCCTCGACCTCTGGCTCCGCCAGTGGCTTTCGCTGCCGTCGATAAGGCCAGGCATATCGCGTGCTTGGCCCAAGCTGCTGGAACGTTTTCGAAGTACCCCTGAGAATCAGAGATCTCGGTGTGTTCGGGGACCCACAGGTGCTGTAATATTGTACCTGCTTCAAGCAGGTTGGGACCCCGTGGAGCCCTCGCACTGGAATGCTCCTGATGACTGTGGCGATCTAGCAGCTTGGCGTTTTCCATCTTCAGAGCTTGCTGGAAACCTGATCGAGGATAATCCTGGCCCCCTCTTGGACGATTTCGACCAGTCCATCCAGAATCAGCTTTGGAGGAATGCTTCTCAACACTATTGTGGTGAAGGGATGCAATGGGGGATCGATAATTATTCGTTGCGCCGCCTTTTGAAGCAGCTGCTCGTCGCCCCACATGGGAGCCGTTTAAGTGAGTTGCTTGTCTCGGTGGCCACAGGCGGATCTTGGCCACGGGTTCGCCGACATGAGCAGTTGAAAGGGGAGCAGGAAGTTTTATGTCCCAGGTGTTTTGCGGAGCCCGAGACCCCCTTCCATAGGATTTGGGGATGTGCTGGAAACAGGGAGTGTAAGGCATACACAGATTCTGAATCGCTCACGTCGGCAGCGCATGCAGGTGCAGACTCTGAAGCGTGCTTTTGGCTGCGGGGCCTCATCCCTGCAGCGTGGACTGCAGTGCCACCGCCCCCGTCTTTGGAAGATTGGCACATTCGAGGCAGCTCGTCGAACGATCTTGAGGGCTGTCTTGGAGAAGGGCCCGTTCACGATCCCATCATTGTTTTTGGCGATGCAAGTGGAGGTAGCAATGCGGCAGACCAACGGTTCATTCGTGTGGGGCTCGGGATTGTTGCATTCGACTCGTTTGAGCCTTGCCGCATTCGGTCGTCTGTGAGTGGGCCCTTAGTTGGGAAGTCTCAGTCCGTGCCCCGAGGTGAACTCCGAGCTCTTTTGTTGGCTGTGGAATGCACGCGCGGTTTCGTTTGTTATGTGACTGACAATGAAGCTGTGGCCCAGGGTTTCTATTCTGGTTTGTATAAGAGGCCCTCTGGGCCCAATGCTGACCTCTGGCTGATCCTGGGAAAAAAGTTGCAGGCCCGTCCGACTCAGTTGAGTGTGCTCTTCACCAACTCGCATTTAACGGCTGATGATATCATTGCACGCGAGGTTCCGCCCTGGCTTGCCCAAGGCAATCTTGTTGCCGACGAGGTCGCCAGTGCTGCGGCCCACCGTGCTCGCGTTCCCGACGAGGCGAGGGCGCGGGCCTACAAGGCCGAGAGGACGGCCGCCCTGGTCCGCCACCGCCTCGTGCGCGCCACGGCGGACGCGCTGGAGGCCGAGGAGCGGGGTGGGAACGGCGCCGTGAGGAGTAAGGACCCGCCTCCTCCTCCTCCCCCCGCCCCCTCCCTCGTCTCGGCTTTCTGCTCTGCCCACAGCCTCAGCGACGATCGAAAGAGTTGTCTTCGTTGTTGTGGCTCAGCCACCCTTGCCACCCAGAAAGAATGGTGGCAGTCAGATTGTTTTCAGCCCGTCGCTTTAGACAGTAAATATGCAGCGGTCCCTCGGGGGGGGCGGCTCCATATAGATGGGGGTTGGGTCGATCCGACACATGCGATGCGATTACAGCTTGCGCATAAGGTTTGGTTCTGCCTTGGCTGCGGTCGCTACGGCAGTCAGCAGAATCGAGCCCTTAGCAAGCCTTGTGACCTTCAGATCCCTGCTCACCGAGGCGAGTACCTCGATCGAATTGAGCAGGGGAAGTGGCCAAAGCTTCTTAGCAAAGCTGAGCAGCGAAGCCGCCTCTAGCTTGTTTTCTCGACTACGTCGAATAGCTCGATAATCGATACTCCTCCTCCTCCTCCTCCTCCTCCTCCTCCTCCTCCTCCTCCTCCTCCTCCTCTCCTCGCCCGCGAGGCCGCGGGGCCCGCCGTCCGAGCATCATCTTCATCATCATCATCATCATCATCAGTATCATCATCGATATCATCATCATCATCAGCATCATCATCAGCATCATCATCATCATCTTCATCATCATCTTCATCATCCCCATCATCATCATCGTCGTCATCATCGTCGTCATCATCATTAGCATCATCATTAGCATCGTCAGAATGACCATAATCATCATCACCGTCACGCATCATCGACGCAGCATGATCAACAGAATCATCACCTGAAGCAAAATACACCATCAGTATCAGAATCATCATCATCAGCGGCAGCATCATCAGCATCGTCACAATCAGCATCACCCTCATCATCATCATCACCATCATCATACTGAGGATCATCATCATCATCATCATTAGCATCACCAGTCTTATCATCATCAGCATTATCATCATCACCAGCATCGTCATCATCCTCATCTCAAAAATCGTATTAAATTGCATCCTCATCATCAGCATCTGCATCAACATCAACACCATCATCACCACCATCATCATCAACATTATCATAATAGTCATATTCATCTTCATACTCGTCATCATCATCATCTTCATCTTCATGTTCATCATGCTCATCATCATCACCAGCATCACCATCATCAGAATCGCCATCATCATCGCCATCATCATCACCATCAGCATCACAATCATCAGCATCAGCACCATCATAATCATCATCATATCATCAGCAGCATCGCCATCATCATCATCCTCCTCATCACAGGTATCAATCTCAACATCATCGCCATCATCATCGTCATCATCATCATCTTCATCAGCATCATCACGTCCGCCCTCCGCGCCCTAGGCGACGGCGCCCCCCGTCTCCGCAAAGGACCAGGCCCTCTTCGAGGAGCCCCCCCCCCCCATTCGCGGAAGGCCGCAGGCGTTGCCTGCCTCCGGGGGCTCCAGGAGGCTGGGCCAGGGGAGGGCGGGAGGGAGGGGAGGAGGGAAGGAGGGAGGGAGGAGCGTGGAGCGAGGAGCGAGGAGCGAGGAGCGAGGAGCGAGGAGCGAGGAGGGAGGGAAAGAGGGAGTGAGGGGAGGAGGGGACGGAACGAGGAGAGGAGGGGAGCGAGGAGGGCGAGGGGAGGAAGGAGGTGCGAGGAGCGAGGAGCGAGGAGGGAGGGAAGGCAGCGAGGAGGAAGAGGAGGAGGAAAGGGAGGAGGAGGAAGAAGAGGAGGAGGAGGAGAAGGAGGAGGAGGAGCAGGAGGAGGAGGAGTGTTGGCTTGGGTTCTCAACTCGAGCGGTGGGCGCGCCGCGCCTGGTCAACGCAGAAGCCCTCTCGTGGGTCGCTGTGCCCCGCGGGAGTGTGCGACGCTTGGAGCTTGTGGCGGTGCCACCTGTCCGAGCACCAATGCGTGGGCAGACGCATTGGTCCGAGGACCAATGCGTGGGAGGAGGAGGAGGAGGAGGAGGAGGAGGAGGAGGAGGAGGAGGAGGAGGAGGAGGAGGAGGAGGAGGAGGAGGAGGAGGAGGAGTGGGGCGGGGCAGGGAGCACACTGCAGCGAGGACACGGGAGGAGCATCGCCGCTCCGGCGGCCCTCGCTCCCGCACGAGCTGGCGCTCCGGGGGAGCACGAGCTGGCGCCGCCCGTTGGTTCAATCCTGCCGCACCCCCGGACCTGCCGGCGGGGGGCGCCCGGGCATGTCGCCTGATTCGACTACACGTCAGAGTGACTTTTCGCCGGAGTGGCCTTTGGTGCGGGCCTAATGGTCCCCCGACCGCCGGACGCGAAGCGGTGGTAGCGTCTTGCGCGCTTGCGGTTTGGCCCCCCCGCGCTCCCCCAGAAGCCGCGCACCAAGGGCCACTCTTTACCCAGGGTCACTCCTGCGTGCAGCCGACTGATACCTCCTAACCACTTCTGTCCCTCGAGCTTGACACTTGCAGCAGCTTCGCGGATGCGGGGCGGGTCATTCTCGAAATGTGGAGCTCGTTTCGGCGCCGCGCACGTTCGTCGCAAAGTGTTCAGCCGTATCAAACTGGATGGCAGTTCTTGTTCAGAATGTGGTTCTCGCGTGAGCGCCGCGCACAGTCGCGTTAAAGGTATACCAGTTTCACGGATGGAGAGCAGGTGTCTTCTCAAAATGTGGTTATCGTTTGCTCGTCTGTAAAGTTCACAGAAACTTCAAGGATAGAGGGTGGCTCCTTGTCAAAATGCGGTTTCGCCTACGTGCCGCGCGCATTCGATTTACAAGTTCGCAACCTTTTCAAGGATCCGTATGGTCGAAATCCTGGTTCAGGGCTGTAAGGACACAGTGCTCTGACACGGCCTAGGGTTGCCAGGACACAACAGTCAGATTGATCCGCGGCGTCGAATTCCCATGCACAGTGTTTTGGCACGATTGAGGGTTCTCAGACAGTTGTCTTCTAATGGGCTATTTCCCGAGATGATCTTAGTCCTTCTAGGGACTTACGAAGAGGGAACTTGGATGGGGTTAGTGCAACAGCGTTGGTGCGCCTTGGGTTTACACGGGTAATCTTTCTCCTCGTCGTCTTCCTCGTCCTCCTTGTCTTCTCCTCCTCCTCCTCCTCCTCCTCCTCCTCCTCCTGCTCCCGTGCCCGCGCAGGGCACTGTGGAGCCCCCTTTTCCCTCAGTTGGGGCCCCAGCATCTGAGGATGGAGGCGAAAGGAAGGCACAGCTGATTTTGGGAAAGCTACACTTGCAAAAGCTGCCGAAGTCCCACGAGGATGTGTTCATGACAGGAGAAGAGGGGGATGGATGGAGGGATAGATGGAGGGAAGAAACACGGGGGAGACAGGATGATGATGAGGAGGGGGGCTGATCCTCCTCGTTTCTCCTCGTATGTTAGCATGTTTGTCTGCAAACCGCTAGACCCAACTTGGGCATACAAGACCAAAGAGACTCTTCGATCTCCTGCGCGGGCACAGATCGCAGAGCTGGCGATCCCTCAGCGAGAGAGCATGGCAAGCGCGCCGCGAGGACTTCGCAACTGTGAAGATAGCGGCGGGCTGAACCCCCGGCGGCGGCGACGCAGGCTGCGGGAACGAGGGCCGCCAGAGCGGCGATACTCATCCCGTGTCCTCGTTGTGTTGTATTCTTTGTCCCGCCCCACTCCTCCTCCTCCTCCTCTTCCTCCGCCTCCTCCTCCTCCGCCTCCTCCTCCTCCGCCTCCGCCTCCGCCTCCTCCTCCTCCTCCTCCTCCTCCTCCTCCTCCTCCTCTCCACGTCTTCGTCCTGCTGCTCCTCGTCCAGTCACTGCTGCCCTTCTCGCCAGACGGGGCCTATTCTCAGATTGCGGCCGCACTTTGCCTCCCTGTTCACCCTGCCCCTGCCCACCACCCACCCTCTCAGGGGCAACATTAAACAGGGGGATAGTATCAGGGGGCGAACGCATCGGTCCCCAATCGCCCATTCATCGCCGATATGGGCCGGATAGCCCACCCCGCCCATGAACGTGAACATTCCCTATCGGGGGCATCTCGCCGAGCTATCGGCGATGCATCGCCGAACACAGGCTGATGTTCCATGTCCTCCCCCTGATAAGGCAGTCCCCCTGCTATCGTTGCCCCTCTTCCTCCTCTTGCCCCTCCTCTTGCTGAGCGGATGATTATCTTGCTCCTGACCCGATGTGTCGTTCCTTCGCGGAGGGCTGAGGGAGGGCAGGGGAGAGATTTGCGTCAGGGTCGGCTGCAATACGAGGAGGTGTGCCATAGTGTCGACTGGCCTTCCTCCTCCTCCTCCTCCTCCTCCTCCTCCTCCTCCTCCTCCCTCCTCCTCCTCCCTCCTCCTCCTCCTCCTCCTCCTCCTCCTCCTCCTCCCTCTCCCGCCACCTCCTCCTCCTCCTCCGCCACCTCCTTCTTGAGGCGGGCCCATTTCGCCACGATTGTCTCGCTATGTTCACGAAGTGTCCTGACTTCCCGCTTCCCGCGGCTCTCACCATCGAGTTGGAATAGCCAGCGTACTTCATTTCGTGGTATGCAGCGTTGTTGTTTTGCATGTTGCGAGCATCGTCTGTTCGATTGTCACTGTAGAACTTGACAGAACGAATGCGGCATGAAAGTGTCATGCGGACTCACGGGAAACGCTATCCCTTGTCAGCGAGCCGTCTCACAGCAGCTCGGTACGTCGCCAATTGATCCGAGCCCACGAGACTTCTTTCACACAAGGGTTCGACTTGGCGCAGCACATTAGGGCTCCTAAGTCTCATGCGGTAACGAGGGCGACGACGACGACGACGACGACAGGGGCGACGACGACGACGACGACGACGACGACGACGACGACGACGACGAGGGTGACGACTGCGGCGGCGGCGAAGACAGCGGCGACGAAGAAGGCGTCAGCGGCGACGGCGACGGCAGCGCCGACGACGGCGAAGACGACGGCGGCGGCCGCGGCGAGGACGTCGGCGGCGGCCGGCGGCCGCAGGGGCGGCGACGACGACCACGACGTCTGCGGGCATGGCAGCGGCGGCGGCTGCGTCGACGGCGGGACGCAGGCCGCCGCAGCGACGCCGCAGCGGCGCTGCCCACAGGGCGCGCTAACTACGCGCGCGGCCCCGCCTGGCCAAGGCGCCGCCAGGCCTGGCTGCACGTCAGAGCGGCCCTCGGCCGGAGTGACCCTCTGGTGCGCGGCTTTCCGGGGCTCATGTCGGCTCCCCCGACTCGAGCCGACTCGGTTTCGATGGCTTCCGATTCCGGTTCGATTCGACTTCGGATGCCGAGCTGGAGTCCGCTTGCCCAACGGAGGCCTCGCCTGCCGGCTTCCGCCGACTCGTCTTCTCCCGACCCGGCTGCCGACTTCTGTCGACCCGATTCATGTCGATCGCCGATCCGATCGATCGATTCGATGCAGGAGCCTCCTGGCTCTCGGGATGCGCGGGGAGAAGCGGGGAGCAGCGGGGGGGGGACCCCAAACACGCACACGTATCGTGGCCGGCAGGGGGCTCTGGCTGTGGCCCCAGAGGCGGCGCTCACACGATCGGCGCGTTCCCCGGCGCCCTTCTGCGGCGCGCTGCTCACGCGGAGGTGCCCCTCAGGGACCGCCGCCTACGACCCCAAGAGCTGCGTTCGCACAGCGTCCCCCCCGCCCACTTCGGCACCCCTCGGCGCTGCTGTCCGGGGCGGCCCAGCCGACCCCTGGCGGCTCACCCCTTCCGCGACGGCCGCATCGCTTCGCACCAATGCTCAGGAGAGGAAAAAACACACAGACACAATTCATCCTCGATTCCCCCGAAAATATTGGAAAATATGGGAAGTGGGGGGGAAGACAGAAACCAAGAAAATATGGGAAAATATGGGGAACTTTTTTATTTGTGTATATTTATGTGTGTGTCCTGGGGCCCCTTCAAATGCGTGGGCAGGCGTTCAGAGGGGATATTCGAGGGTGAGAGAAATCGCCTTTCGAAAAAAAAAACAAGCAAAGAGTGCCGGAGGTTCGCGCGGACGTCTTGGACCAGTGGTGGAATTCATCCCGGGGCACCCCCCTTTGTTACGTATATTTACGCCTTGTTATTGGCGCATGTTTGTTTCTGACGGTCTCCCCGTCTGGGTTTCGGAGGGTCGCGGGTCAGTCTCAGTCTGGGCCCTCCCCCCCGGCCACCCTTCCACTGCCCCCCCTCCTGCCTGTGTTGCTGCAGGGAGGGGTGCGCCGCGGCATTCGTGGCCCCGGCGATTCTCGCCAACGCGGCGGTGCCCCCGAGTCGTCGTCGAGTCGAATTGCACACGGTTTCTTGTTTTCTTTATAATCGTTTTCGTGAGTCGAACCTTGAGAGGAACCTTGAGTTTCTTGTTTTTTGTTTTAAATAATCGTGGCAGGACGCCAGCTCAAAGAATTGAGGGGGACCTTGACCGCCTTCCCCGGCGAGCCGGGGCCCCCGACCGGCAAGGTTCTGACCGGGAGAGAAGGTTGGCCCGCCAGCCGTTCCGAGCTCTGACACTGGCCATCAGCCGAAAGGCCCGCTCTCGCGGGGCGATGAACACCTCGGGCTCGTGGTCGCGAATCTCGAGGCCATGATCTCTGTCGAGTCGAATTGCACACGGTTTCTCGTTCTTTGTTTTTTTATAATCGTTTTCGGGAGTCACGGCAGGACGCCAGCTCAAAGAATGCCGCCTTCCCCGGCGAGCCAGGGCCCCCGACCGGCAAGGTTCTGACCGGGAGAGAAGTTTGGCCCGGCAGCCATTCCAAGCTCTGACACTGGCTACTCCAGATCTCGTAATAAAAGGGAGGGGGTCTGGACCCTCCAAGACAAGCCATTTCAGACCCCCCCCCCGTGGGAGAACCCTCCAAAACATCGTCCCCAGACCCCCCCAGGCCCTCCAAGATGGCCTGGAAGAGACCCCCCCCGAAATGAGACCCCCCTCCTTTTATTACGAAATCTGGAGTATCAGCCGAAAGGCCCGCTCTCGCGGGGCGAGAACACCTCGGGTTCGTGGTCGCGCGTCTCGAGGCCATGATCTCGGGCATCTCGTTCGAGCTTGGAGGGGCAGCTGACGGGCGCGCTATGGCATGCGAACGGCCAGCTGTCACCGCCGCGGCCGGGACGGATCGGAAAACCGGCGATGAAAGTGCCACCCCCATAGGGTACAACGTCGATGCACGGACGCGCGCAAGTGTCGCGCATAGCGGTGCCACTGCGTTTGGGCAACCTGACGCCACGGGCGCTGCGGCGGGGAAATTTGACGCTGAAGTGACTACGTCGGGGAAGCCTGGTGCTAAAGGAAGGCCGGCCGTGTTCAGGACGAACTCAAGAGCCAGAAAAGCGTGGGGCTACATGCCCTACCCCTTCGATCATTCGTTCTTCCCCCGCGGTCGCACACCGGAGCAAAGCAGGGCTTTCCGCGGCACATTTATAGAACGCGCGAGCGCCAACCATGAGCACGGCGACCAGCGCGCGCTGGTATTTGCAGACGAAGCGCGGATGATGGCCCGATGGGCAAGGCAACCACAAACAGTCTGCCCAGCTATCGGCGCAGAAGCTCGCAGTGCTGTCGAATCCCGTGCGGCCCAGAGTGCCAGGGAGCAGGGTAAGGAGCAGCAGCACAGACAGAGTAGCAATGCCAACCTCCACGGACAGCTTGCGGTACTGGACCAAGGACTCACTGAGGCTGACACCGAGCAGGAGAGCAATGAGCTCCAGAATCAACAGCGCTCTGACGTGTTGTATGAACTCCAAGAAGAAATCGGAGCCCTGCGAGCACAACAACTCGCCAAGAGCAAAAAAAAACTGGAGCAGATCAAAAGTCAGGTGGCTGAAATCGTAACCACCGTGAACGGCACAAGGATTAAGCACGCTGCCCTCCAAGAGCACCTAAATAACACGGATGGCAAAGCCTCTGCAAATAACAACGCGATCTCCACGCACGAAACTGCGCTGGTGGACCTACAACAACAGATCAGATACACCCACGAAAGAGTCGAGGCATGCGAACATATAACTCCCGAGGCCACTCTTCTGAACCAAGTAAGAACCCTCGAGGTAGGCCTCACAAGACAGGGGCAAAGTAACCCCCCGAGGCGCCACTCTTCTTAACCAAATAAGAGCCCTTTAGGCAAGCCTAACTGGTGAACATGTCACGGGAGCCTGGCCGCCTTCACAGGCGACCCCGGGCTCTCGACCAGTAAGGTGTTGACTGGGAGGGAGGTTTGGCCCATAGGCCAAGTGCCGATCCGGCCCGGCCAGGATCGGTGAGGCGATCAGTCCTTGAGATCTGAAATCGCAGAATAAACCCGGCGCGACCCCGATTAGGGGAAAGTTTGTTTCATGGGCGCATCGTTGGGCGCATCGCTTGGTATTGTGTGGCATGGGTTGGCATTGCTTGGCATGGGTTGGCATTGCGTCACGTTGCCGTGCATTGCTTGGCAGCGCTTGCCTTCGCTTGGCATTTCTTGGCGTTGCTTGGCATTGCTGGCACTGCCTGGCATTATTTGGCATTGTTTGGCACTGCTTGCTGGCATTGCTTGACATTGCTTGGTGTTGCATGGCATGCTTGGCATTGCTTCGCGCTGTTTGGCATTACTGTACTTCGCACTGTCTGGCATTGCTTGGCTCGCTTGGCATCGACTGGCCTGCGAGGAACCCGAGGAAGCTCCGAGCACCAGGCCACGTGCCCCCCCGAAGCACCATTCTTCCTATCCACGCTGGAACCCGTCAGGCAAGCATGACTGGGGGAAGATGCAACATCTCGAAGAGTCGCGACCAGATCCCTAGACGCAATTTTGATTCCCTCCGTGAGGCGGCAGAGGGAAACAATTAGTGAACACCCCCCCTGCCCCCCAAACTCAAGGTTGGCACGCGCGGGGGAGACTGCGGTCGAGGTGCAACTCATCAGACCCACCGCCAACTTTGAACATTGGGGGGAGGGGGAGGCGTTCACAGGTGAAAGTGGCATGAGTGTTCGCTATTTTTTTCCGAGGCCTGGGGCCCTGGGGCCTGAATGTGGGCGAGAACGCCCGACGTGAAAAAGTGCGACGCCAAGGCATCATGCGTTGACGTCCCCCGAACCACGGGCAAGCTGCGCACCCCCAGAGGTCTGGACCCCTTCCCCGGGACCGGCTCTTCATCCCGAGGCAAATTTGGACGCTGCCGTGGGACCCGGCAAGGACCCCCGGAGGCCGACGAGAGCCAAACAAGTGGCACGCGTGCCCTGGCTCTTGCACAGTCAGACAACGACGGACGGGGGGAGGGTTTCGCGACCCAGGGGAGCTGCCCTGGGAGGCCCCGGGGAGCCAGGAAGCCAGGGGGGAGGCCAGGGGAAGAGGACGAACCAGGGGAGGAGGACGAAGCACGAGCCACGAAAAGAAAGAGGTCCGAGCTCTCCAAAACGCAGCTTTTTACAAGAGAACAACTCCTGCCGGCGTGGTCGCGACGAGAGGAAGTGGGGCTTTCGGGCCATACCTCGGGTCCCCAGACCCCCGACGTCGTGGTTTTTTCACAACGTCGACCCCCAGAGGTCTGGACATCTTCCCCGGGGCCGGTGTTGCATCCTGAATCGTTCTCTGACGCTCCCGAGGCCCGGTAAGGGCCCCCGGAGGCCGAAGATAGGGAAAAACCTTCCGCCGTGTTTTTGTCACAACGCGAGGGGGTCTGGGTCTCCAGCTGTGGCCCAGCTTGTTGCAAGAGAACAACTCCTGCCGGTGTGGTCGCGACGAGAGGAAGTGGGGCTGTCGGGCCACACCTCGGGCCTCCAGCTGTCGTCCAGGACGACCCAGGACCTGGCATCGCTCGGACGTGTGCGCTTTTTCCTCGGCGAGGACCATCGAGGAGCATCCTTGATCACTTGGCGAAAAAACCACGCACGAAACCGAAAAAAGCACAGGGAATGGACGTCCGAGCGATGGCCAGGCCGTGGCCCAGGACGACCCAGGAGCCCCCAGAGCGCCCCCGGCGAGGCGCAGAGGCTGTTCGAGCGGTCGGAGGCCAGAGGAGAGCCCCCGGGATCCTCCGGAGGCGGCCGGGAGGCCCCCGTCGTGATTCCTCTCACCGCGGCCACGAGAGGGTCTGACCAGCCTCGAACCCAGACCTCCTCGAGTCATGAAAAAATCACGACGGGAGGTTTTCCTTCATTTTCGACCTCGGGGGGCCCTCACTGGGCCTCGGGAGCGTCAAAAAACGACTCAGGATGCAAAGCCGGTCATGGGGAAAGGGTCCAGACCTCTGGGGGTCGACGTAATGAAAAAAACATTACGTCGGGGGTGTGGGAACGTATCCCTATCCCTGAGATTGGCACGCCAAAAGGCGATGACAAGATCTTAGGGGTTCGCCCTCCAAAACATAAGGGAATCCCTCAGATTGGCATCGTGATGAGGAGGCGCCCAACATAGGGATAGGGATATGTTCCAGGCCGGTGAGGGTCGGAGAGCGAAAAATTGCACAGACATCCCTTGTCGGAGCTGCGTGCGGATTCCTTGGGTCGCCGCCGGGCCTCCATCCCCCGGCGCGCGGAGCGCGCCGGGGGCTGCGCCGGAGGCGCCGCCCGGGGGCAGCGCCGATGCAAGGACTCCGCGCGGAGCTCCGAAAGGTTCTGTGCATGCCTTCTTCCTCCAGAGCTAGGATGGTTCAACCGACCTTAGTCGGGGGTGGACAGACCTCCTACCCTGACACGTCGATTAGTGAATTGTCCGTTTTCGGTTCTCGAGAGGGCGCCGCGGCCGTCCTTTTTTAGGCTTGCGCCCGCCAGGTTTGGGCCCGAGGTCGTTTTCACTAAACCACGTTTTGCTAAAGGGAGGTCTGTCCATCCTTGATTTAGCCTTGACCACCAGAAAAAATTCCGAGCACCTGAAAAAAAGTGCCGAAACACGAGGGTTGTTTCGCGTGTCGGACCCTGGGACACACTCGTTCGACACTCTTTCGACACTGTTTCGACACTTTTCTGGGTGCTCGGAATTACTTCTGGGATGTAGCTCGTAAGTACGATAGGGGGCAACATAACTCCAGAGGGGGGTGGGGGGAGGTGGTCGGCTGATGGCCCCCGAGCAGTCGGCAAGCCGCGCACGGAGAGGCCGCTTTCCTGACCAGAGGGGCCGCTCTTGCGTCAGCAGCCGGCCAGTCACCTCCGCTCGCGCCCCCGTCGCCGCCGTGCCTTGTCGAATTGGCTGAGCTGCGGAGGAGGACGGCGAGGAGGCAGAGGAGAGAGAATGGAGGAGGGAGCGAGGCAACAGGGAGGAGGGTGGAGGGAGGACGGAGGACGGAGACCAGGACGGAGGTGAGAGGAGGGAGGGGAGGGACGAGGAGGAGGAGGAGGAGGAGGAGGATGGAGATGGCAGAGGAGAGCAGAGGGCCTGAGAGGGCAAATGGCTAGTGCGGAGCGGGAGGGGGCGCAAGCCAAAGCTTGTGCGACCGCATCATGACGGGCACCATGCCCAGTAAGCAGATGAGCTGTGTGGATGCAGGCCGTCGAGATCCTCCTTCGAAGAAGCAATACTGCGGCGAGCCTCCGCCCTCCATTCGTATCCTTCCCCCTATCCCCCCCTCAGTGTGATAGCACGCGCCATTCCCCCGAATGCCCTCTGGGGGCGATGCACGCGTCCACCAAAACGAGCACATGCTGAGAGGCAACAGCGTGCATGTACGCCTCAATTCGCATCGGCACAGTTGCGAGGCACCGCTGCCCCTCCGTGGAGACCCCGGCAGCACCAATACGGCCCACCTTCTCGACAGGCCCGAGGACACCGGCCCAGGAGCGATCCGTAACAAAGCGATCCGAGCAAAGAACATCAAGAACGATATGATGGGTCGTGGGATGACGACGCCATCGGGGGCTTTCTGATGTCCTGCCAAGTGACCCACCGTATGAGAAGCCTTTCGTAGCGATGTGCTGGACAATGGGATGACGGAGCTGAGAGGGCTCCTGGGACTGGGAGGTTCATGGGAGAGTTCTGAGAGGCTTCTGAGAGGCTCATGCGAGGCCCCTGAGAGGCTCCTGAGAGGTTCTTGAGAGGGTCCTGACATGGGCCTGAGGGGCTCTTGAGAGGCTATTGGGAGGGCTTCAAGGGGTCCGGACAAGCTCCAGGGAGGCTCCTAATTTGTAATTTGGGAACAGGTTCGTGCAGCGCTTTTATTGGAAATCATGTGTGATGTATGCGTGAATATGTTTACATTCCAACGTGTCTATAGATTTCGATTACCAAGGACCCCCCCCCCCCGAAATCGGACCCCCCGAATCCTGGGCCCCCGGGAGCCTCTGGACCCCCCAGGTCCGTGGCCCCGGGGACCCCCCGGACGCCCCTGCAGGAGGCCCCCCCGGCGTTTCCGGGCCCAGCCGCGACGCGACTTCGCGAGCTCCTGGAAGCCTTTGCTGGGCCTAGGCAACGGGCCCAAATCGGCCAGGAGGGCGGCCGAACGCCCCCCCGAGAGCCCCAAGAGGCCCCAGCCACCCGCAAGAAGACAACCCAAAGAAGACCCCCAGGAGGAATTGGGGAATGCCCTGTTCTTCGGTTCTCTGGGCGTCCGAGCCCGCCTAAGAGGCTCGAAAATCGCCCGAAAACCATCCGAAAAGGCTTCCAGGCAGTCCAAGAGAGCCCCAAGACGGCACAACAGGGTTCCAAGATGAGCTACGAGAGCCTCATGACGACCCAAGATGGCCCCAAGACAACCTCAGAAGCATTCCAAATCGTGACCCGGTCGTTCAGGGAGACCGCGGTTGGAGGCAGGGTGGCCCGAGGAAGCCCCCACAGGCCCCCAGAAGACGCCCAAGAGGCCTCCAGAAGGCCTTAAGAAAGCTTGAAAAACTTCCGTGAGGCCCCCAGAGGCCTTCCAAGGATGAGCCTCCGCAAAAAGAGCGTAGGGCGAGAATGAGGAAAATTATCCCGGCAAAGCAACCTAACAGCGATGTGTAGAAGCATATCTGAAAGCATTCCCCTTAAGATTCAGATGAAAATCCAGTTGTCGAATTCTGCTGTTCTCGCAGTAGTAGTCGCATTCGCGATGACAGTCGCAGCGGCAACGGCAGTCGCAGTCACAGCCTCAGCCTCAGCCTGCCTCCTCCTCCTCCTCCTCTTTCTCCTGCTCCTCCTCCTCCTCCTCCTCCTCCTCCTCCTCCTCTTCCTCCTGCTCGTCCTCGTTCTCGTCCTCCTCGTCTTGCTCGTCCTCCTCCTCCTGGTGCTCTCTCCTCCTCCTCCTCCTCCTCCTCCTCCTCCTCCTGGTGGTCCTCGTTCTCCTCCTCCTGGTGCTCTCCCCCCCCCTCCTCCTCCTCGTCCTCCTCCTCCTCCTCCTCCTCGTCCTCCTCCTCCTCTTCCTCCTCCTCCTCCTCCTCCTCCTCCTCCTGGTAGTCCTCCCCCTCCCCTCCTCCTCCTCCTCCTCCTCCTTCCTGGTCGTCCTCGTTCTCGTCCTCCTCGTCTTGCTCGTCCTCCTCCTCCTGGTGTTCTCTCCTCCTCCTCCTCCTCCTCCTCCTCCTCCTCCTCCTCCTCCTCCTCCTCCTCCTCCTCCTGGTGGTCCTCGTTCTCCTCCTCCTGGTACTCTCCCCCCCCCTCCTCCTCCTCCTCCTCGTCCTCGTCCTCCTCCTCCTCCTCCTCCTCTTCCTCCTCCTCCTCCTCCTCCTCCTCCTCCTCCTCCTCCTCCTCCTGGTACTCCTCCCCCTCCCCTCCTCCTCCTCCTCCTCCTCTCCTGGTCGTCCTCCTCCTCCTGGTCGTCCTCCTCCTCCTGCTCGTCCTCCTCCTCCTCCTGCTCGTCCTTCTTCTCCTGCTCCTCCTGCTCCTCGTCCTGCTCCTGCTCGTCCTCGTCCTCCTGGTCTTGCTCGTCCTCCTCCTCGTCGTGCTCTTGCCCCTGCTGAAAATGTGGCCCAGGAATGGGAGTTCTGGGAAGTCGAAGAGCACGAAGTTGCCTACAGTTGGCTACGGGCATTCAAAATGTGGCCCGGGAATGGAGTTCTGGGAACTCGAAGAGCACGAAGTGGCCTACAGTTGGCTCCGGGCATTCAAAATGTGGCCCGGGAATGGAGTTCTGGGAACTCGAAGAGCACGAAGTGGCCTACAGTTGGCTCCGGGCATCCAAAATGTGGCCCGGGAATGGAGTTCTGGGAACTCGAAGAGCACGAAGTGTGTGACTGTTGCATCCGGCCCTCCAAATGTGGCCCGGGAATGGAGTTCTGGGAACTCGAAGAGCACGAAGTGTGTGACTGTTGCATCCGGCCCTCCAGAATGTGGCCCGGGAATGGCGTTCTGGGATCTCGAAGAGCACGAAGTGTGTGACTGTTGCATCCGGTTATTCAGAATGAGCCTGGGAATGGAGTTCTGGGAAGTCGAAGAGCACGAAGTGTGTGACTGTTGGTGAAAAACGAGTTCGGCACAGGCCCGCCCGGCAACTCCCAACACCTGCCCGGACCCCCCTGTGGAGTGATCTGTGACCTCTTTTGACACTACTAGAAACCTATCAGTCTTCGCTGTTAGGTAAAGAAACATTGAGGAAGGATAACGAAGAACCTCAGTATAACGGCGATGCCGGAAAAAAGGCAACAAGGAGTTATCGCTAAAGTGTCTGTTTGATTTTCCTGCCATTCCGTCTGCAGACCAAACTTCAAGGATCAAGGTGCATGGCGATGCGCCAATGCAGTCTTGTTGATATATATATATATATACATACATACATACATACATACATACATACATACATACATACATACATACATGTGTTGTATATGCATGTGCGCATTATACATACTTGCATGTGTATGTGCCGTATACAGAGATAGTATGTCAGTATGTGTGTTGACAGGTCCAGCATACACTTAGGTATAATGGCGTTCTGACGTTGGACTGATGTTGGCACAGCTGCCCAAGAGGCATCCGACTCGACGGTGACAGGGCTCTATCAGCGCGTCCGCAGCCCGCAGCCGCCAGGACCTCCTTAGGAGAGATTGCGGGTTCGATTGCACCAGTGTCAGAGCCTCGAAGAAGCGTTCTTAGGGGAAGGGAAGCACAAACAACAACAACAACAACAACAACAACAACAACAACAACAACAACAACAACAACAACAACAACAACGCATTAGGCATGTGTGGCGCCGCATGCAAGAACGACTCGAGTCACGAGCTCAGAGTGAGGGAGGGTTGGTGTGGTACATAACCGATAGACATGCCTACCGCCGCGTTGGGGTTGGGACGGCCCCTCAAGCACAGACGGGGAGCTCAGGGGAGAGTTAGGTAGCGCGAGGACGCGCCGGTGCGGCTACAAAGGCCCTTCCTTCCAGGAGCTGACGCAAAGCCTGCCCTAACGCGGCCTCCAACCTGCCAATACCAAAGATGTAGCGCGGGGCGGCCTTGAAAAGGTGGACCGCCACAGCGATGTATTCATCCGCTCTCGATACAAGCTGCAGGCCATTATTTTCTGGAGCCCGACTGGGATCCCTATACACGATCTCCGCACAGGACTAGCAAAGTGTGCGCGCAGGGGGGGCGGGACAAGTCGGCGTGATTGCCACAGACCAAACTCCGAATATCTCTGACATGAGGTTGCAGAGAAGTTTGCCGATTCGATGGAGGCTTGACAGGAGGACCACTCAGGCGAGCCGTTGCCCTGACCACTATTGGAGTATCATCCACCCAATCAGGAGTGTGATAGCACCTGAGTTGCATAGCACAGCGCAGCACATCCGTTCAAGAACGCGTGTCCGACCGACTCTCTCTTCCGCTCCCTGCTTGGATAGGTCGCGTCAGAACGCAGGTCATGCCAGTTTCCGCCGAAGCCCGTCCGCATGACGTCGGCCGCAGATTTGCCCCAGAAGGAGCACTCTCGACTCTCATGCCGAACCTGGTCCATCGTTGCCCCCACGCGGTTGTACTGCGGGCATCCCAGCGGACCAAGATTGGCTTAGAGCCGCAGGGCATCGCACGACGGGCCGCAGAGTCGCCCCGAAAGGAGCACTCTCTCGACGCTTGTGCGGACTGCACCGTCGTTGGCCCACTTTGGTCGATGCCCATGCTGCACAGGGTCCCCTGACCTCCGCCGATGTGATTCTCAATCCGCGCCCCAGCGGCCCCTTCCCCAGGGCCCGTGGCATCGCTCGGACGTGTGCATGTTTCCTTCGGCGAGGACCATCGAGGAGCATCCTTGACCATTTGGCGGAGAAACCACGCACAAAACCTAAAAAAGCACAGGGAATGGACGTCCGAGCGATGGCGAGGGCCGGTTTTTCACCCCGGACCAGTTTTGGATGGCCCCGGGGCCCAATCTTGGCCCTGGAGGCCGAAAGCAAAGAGACACACCCGGATCGACAAGAATCAGATCGTCGGAGTTATGGGTCTGTTGCTGGCCCACCTCGGTTGCGCCGCGGGCATCCCCGCGGACTACAAGTGGGCATCCCAGCGGACCACGATCGGCCTAGAGCCTGCCCCGCACACCTGGGCGGCGCGAGCACTCCGACCAGCGCCGCGGCGTGCTGCGAGGAAGCCCCGTGCAGTGGCGCCAACTGCCTCGGGCCGCTTTGGATCGTAGGCCCCGCCGCCGCTGGGGACTTGCAGGCACGCCCCCTCAGGAGCCGGGGGTCGGCTCCTGAGGCCTTGGGCGCCCTTGGCATCGCTCGGACGTGTGCCTTTTTCTTTCGGCCAGGACCATCGAGGAGCATCCTTGATCATTTGGCGAAGAAGCCACGCACGAAACCAGAAAAAAACACAGGGAATGGACGTCCGAGCGATGGCGAGCGCCTGTGACCCCCCATGCCCCGCCTTCACGGGCGCCCGGCCCGACCGCCTCTCGGCTGCTGCTCGCTCCCTCCTCCCCGCGGGAGGAGTCGGAGGCCGATATCCACACGCAGGCCGGCCGAGTCGAGGAGAGCGGGCCGCCCTGCGGCGGCTCGCATGGCCCTCGTCCCGGGCCGCTCCCTTGCGAGAGGGCGCTGCACGAGAGGGGCAGCTGCCCGCTCCTCCCGGCATGGGGTGTCCTGCAGGAGGTGCGCCCCCAGGGGTCGGCATCATTCAACCACTCCCCATCCCCATCCCCCTGTCGAGACCTCCGCCAAAATTTCTCCCCAGTTGGGGATGCACCCAGGGCCACGCCGCTGGGGAGGGGGATCGGTCGAGCGACACTTCCGGGGAGTGCCCCACCAGCCGCGCCGATCCTGCGCAGAGGCGTCGGCCCTGGCACGCCTCGCTGCGGCCGCTCTGCCTCCTCCCCCCCCCAGGGGGAGGGGGAGGGGGAGGGGGAGGCCCCCTCCTTCCCCCAGCCCGCGGGGGCCTGCGCAGGGCGCGCTCCCGCGCACGCCCGCACCTCGCGCCTCCCGCTTGCTCTTGAGGGCCCCCCACGCGGTGTGGGGACCGCACCGTGTGGTGAGTCAGCGGGCATTCGAAGTGGCCGCACGGTCCTCGGGACTCGAGGGCCACTCTCCGAGGACGCCTCGGGCGATCGTGGCCTGCAGGGTCCCAAAACGGTGCTGTGACGGACCGCGTAGTGAGGTCTCTGGGTATTTCGAGGTCGCCGCACAGTCTGTCACCGAGCTATGCGGGGACCCCAGATCCCTCCCTCCCTGTATCTCATCTTCCCCGTCCCTTATCGTCTCCTCCACTCTACACTTACTTACCTATCACGCGCAGGATTAGGCCGAGCTGATTTGTATCGCGGGTTTTTACAATCTGATTACATTCGGAGATTCAACATTGTGTTTTCCGCTGCAGCCTGGGCCTCATTTTCGGATCGGCGCTTTGCTCCCGTTGTTCAGAATGACGCTGTCGCTCCAGCGCGGGCCACTGCTCTGGATCCGAGTCCTTTTGTCTAGTGTTGGGCGGAGATCCAGCAGCTCGCTCTCATAGGGTCGAGCAGCTCACTGCACTCTGAGGCATCTAACGCCTTAGGAGCCTGCGATGGAGTCGTCCATAGCAGAATTTCTTGTGAGGTGGCTTGCTTGCGAGCGACTGCCAAGAGTTGTCGCCTTTTCTCATTTCCCCTCCTCCCGCTCCTTCCACTCCAGCTCCTGCTGCTGCTGTTGTTCATCCTCGCACTCCTCCTCCTCCTCCTCCTCCTTCTCCTCCTCCTCCTCCTCCACCTCCGCCTCCTCCTCCTCCTCCCCCTCCTCCTCCTCCTCCTCCTTCTCCTCCTCCTCCTCCTCCTTCCTCATCATCCTCCTCCTTCCTCATCATCCTCCTCCTGCTCATCCACCACCTCCTCATCCTTCTCCTCCTCCTCCTCCTCCTCCTCCTCCTCCTCCTTCTCCTCCTCCCCTCCGCCTCCTATGCACTCAGCCCCCATTCCCCAGTTACGCACAGCACGCTGGGGTCTTCTGAGAGTTCCGGGTCCGCTATGATACGCGTTCGCGGCTAGAGAACAAACCAGCAGCGCAGTGGTATGGTACGGGACGTCAGGTATTGCGCGAGCGCACCTAGCTTGCCCCCCCTCTCCTCTCCCCTCTGTTCTCTCCCACCCTCTGCCTCCTAATTCCCTCCTCTCCTGTTCCCGTGTCTCTCATCCTCGCACCATCATCGCACCACCTTCAGCATCAGCAGCTGCATCATCATCATCATCATCATCATCATCATCATCATCATCATCATCATCATCATCATCATCAGAAGTAGCAGCATCATCATCAGCAGCAGCATCAGCAAAGCATCGGCATCAGCGTCGTCGTCATCATCATCATCGTCAGCATCAGCATCATCATCATCAGCGACAGCATCATCATTACCATTACCATCAGCAACATCATCATCAGCATCATCATCGTCATCATCATCATCATCGTAATCATCATCGTCATCATCATCATAAGCAGCAGCATCATCATCATCAGCATCATCAACGTCAACATTATCATTATCATTACCATCATTACCATCATCATCGTTATCATCAGCAGCATCACTATCATGATCGTCATCATCGTCGTCTTCACCACCATGAGTATCAGCACCCGTAGAATTAACATCATCAGCAGCAGCAACATCATCATCGTAATCATCATGTGTCACCGTCATGGTTATCATAACCTTGATCAATACTTAACATTAGCATCATCATCATCATCAGCGTCATCGTCATGATCATGGTCATCATTATCCGCATCACATAATCATCAGCCGCATCATCATCATCATCAGTATCAGCAGCATCAGCATCAGCATCGTCATCATCATCATCGTAATCTTCATCACAAGCAGCAGCATCGTCATCAGCATCATCAACGTCAACATGATCATTATCATCACCATCATTACCATCATCATCGTTATCATCAGCAGCATCATTATCATGATCGTCATCATCGTCGTCTTCACCACCATGAGTATCAGCACCCGTAGAATTAACATCATCAGCAGCAGCAACATCATCATCGTAATCATCATCATCGTCACCATCATGGTTATCATAACCTTGATCAATACTTAACATTAGCATCATTAGCATCATCATCATCGTCATCGTCATCATCATGGTCATCATTATCCGCATCGCATAATCATTAGCCGCATCATCATCAGTATCAGCATCATTACCGTCAGCATCAGCATCAGCATCGTCATCATCAATATCTCACTAATCGTATCATTACCAGCGTCATCATCGTCATCGGGACCATCATCATTGATCATCATCATCATCATCATCGTAGTCATCGTCATCATCATGATCATCGTTATCCGCATCAAATCATCAGCAGCAGCATCGTCGTCATCATCGCCATCATCATCGTCATCATCATCATCGTCATCATCATGATTACCAGTAGCCGCATCAGTATCATCATCACCTTCGCCATCATCAATAGCATCATCGTCATCATCATCATCGTCATCATTACCATAATCAGCATCATCAACATCATCATCAGTACCATCATCATCAGCATCGTCATCATCATTAGCAGCAGCATCACTATCATGATCGTCATCATCGTCGTCTTCATCATCATGAGTATCATTACACGTAGCATTAGCATCATCATCAGTATCGTCATCCTCATCAGAAGAAACATCATCATTGTTATCAGCATTATCGTCATCATCATGAGAATCGGGAGAATAATATTAGCATTAGCATAATCATCATCAGCACCATCATCGTCATCATCATCATGATCATCACTATCCATATCACATCATCATCATCCACCGCATCATCAGCTGCACCATCATCATCAATATAATCATCACCATCCTCATCAGCATCATCATCATCATTACCATCATCATCATCATCATCATCATCATCATCATCATCATCATCATCATCATCATCATCATCATTACCATCATCATCATTACCATCAGCATCAGCATCGTCATCATCATCATACTTATCACTACCCGTATCATCATCACCATCATCGTCATCATCATCGTCATCGTCATCATCATCGTCATCATTCATTGTCAGCATAGACATCGTCATCGTCATCGTCATCCGCATGATCGTCGTTATCCGTATCGCATCATCATCAGCAGCATCGTCGTCATCATCGCCATCACCATCATCACCAGCATCGTCATCAGCATGATTACCAGTAGTCGTAGCATCAACATTATCATTATTGCCATCATCCGCAGCAGCATCATCATCGCCGGCGTCACCATCATCGTCACCATGATCATCAGTAGCATTATCATTATCCGTATTGTCAACAGGATCACCATGAGCAGCATCGTCGTCATCGTCATCATTACCACCAGCATCATCAACAGCATCGGCATCATTATCGGCATTCTCATGATCTCCATTGCCCGTACCATGGACATCGGCATCCTCATCGCCATCGTCCTCATCATCATGATTATCCTTAGCCGCAGCATCAGCATCAGCATCAGCAGCAGCAACATCCTCATTGCCATCGTCCGCATCAGCAGCAGCAGCAGCATCAGCATCAGCAGCATCAGCACCATCACCATCACCATCACCATCACCATCACCATCATCATCATCATCATCACCATCATCATCAGCATCACCATCATCATCATCACCACCATCATCGGCATCGACACCATCACCGCCAGCGTGCGGAGGGCAGGGGCGAAGGGCGGGCGCCGGATCGAGCGGCCGCCAATGTGCGCCCCTTGAGCGGCAGCTGTTTGGCTGCGGACGGGGGCGCCGAGGGAGCTCTGCCGCCACTCGGCGGCAGCGCTCTCTGCACTGCTGGTGGGCGCGGCATCGTTCGGCGCTGTAGGCGGACCGTTGCGGCTCTAGCGAGTCGTCTGGTTTTCATCAGCGGAGCGAGGGAGCGGGGGGAGAATGGGAGGGAGGGAGGGAGGGAAGGAGCGAGAGAGAGAGAGAGAAAGAGAACGATTGAGAGAGAGAGAGAGAGCCCGAGGGAGCGAGATAGAGCGAGAGACAGCGAGAGAGAGAGAGAGAGCGAGAAAGAGCGAGAGACAGCGAGAGAAAGAGAGAGATGATGAGGAGGAGAAGGAGGAGGAAGGAGAGTAAGGGGAAAAGGGGGAGGAGGAGAAGGAGGAGGAGGAAGGCGTCAGAATATATGGAGAGGTCGAGGAGGGATCTCAGCGGGTTCAGGAGGGGGGCGGGGAGGAGATGGGTGAGGAACAGGCGGAGGAGTGGGAGGAGGGAGGGAGGGGGAGGAGGGATGATGATGTGTGAAGTGGGGGGGAAGGGAGGGATGGAGGGAGGGGTACCGTCTGAAATAGTCACGCAGCTGATGCGCCTGGACCTTATCCTCATAGCATGGGTGCGCGCGCGGTCCTCAGACGAAGCGACTGCCTCGGTACCTGTCAGGGTTTTTCCTTGTGCCACGGCTGTCGTTTCCCTCCTCCTGCTACGTGCCGCTAGCCTGTGCTTGCCGTCGGTCGTCGCCTGAGCTCCGCCTTGATTGTTTGGATGTTGAGTTCGATGTGCCACGGTCAGCATTGCCGTCCTCCTGCTACGTGCCGCTAGCCAATGATTGCCGTCGGTCGTCGCTTGAGCTACACCGTAATTGTCGGAATTGTGAATTCGACGAGCCACGACCATCGTGGTTTTCCTCTTGCTCTGTGCCGCTAGCCGATGCTTGCCGTCGGTCGTCGCGTGGGAGTCGTCTTGATTGTTGGGATCGTGAGCTCGACAAGCCATTCGCCTTCTTTCTGCTACGTGCCGCTAGCCGATGCTTGCCATCAGTCTTCGCGCAAGATTCGTCTTGTGTGTTGGGATGGTGGGGGATTCGTCATCAGACCGCTCTGGCGGAGCACTCGTCTGCGGATTGTGTTCGCTGGTCGGTGTGCACGCCTCGCGCCCTATGCGGTGGCCACAGCGTGCACGAAGTATGTCCGAACTATGCATCACAAGATTGCCGCACATCCTTACAATCGTTTGTTTCGCAATTGTGTGTGTGTGTGTGTTCGGTCATCACGTCCGGCATTACCGACAGCTCCAATGATATCCTTTTTTGCCGTTGCGTTTGGCGCTGCACGATTCCGTTGGTGATCCCATGTGTCACAGTGCAGCACGGTGCTCATCTAACATTGGCAGTTGCATTACTTCCCTAGGGGTGCCACGATGCCACGTCCCCCATGTGTTTCTTAGTGTTTCCCCCATCAGAGCTTGCCTCTGTAGGGGTCCTAGCGGATTCATATGGATGGGTGAGGTTTGACGCCGATTTCGCCCAGGTGCCCGGGTGCCCAGGTGCCCAGGTGCCCGGTTGCCTTAAAGCCCTATAGCTTTATAGCCTTATAGCCCCATAGCCCTGTAGCCCTATAGCCCGAATAGCCCTACAGCCCTATAGCCTTACAGCCCTAGAGCCGTATAGCCCTATAGCCCTATAGCCTTATAGCCCTATAGCCCTAGAGCCTTATAGCCCTATAGCCCTATAGCCCCAGAGCCTTATGGCCCTATAGTAATATAGCCCTATAGCCCCAAAAAGGATTATGATTGGGGCTTTTCTCCGGTATCATATGTTTTCTCTAAAACGAATCATATCAATATGTGTTGCCTTATTTCTCTTCGTCGCATCAGTGTTCTTATTCGTCTCATTTGCTCAATTCGCTCACTGCCCACCCCATCCTTCGTCCGCGCGCACGCCTCGGGACATGATGTGTTGACTCCCTTCTTCCTGGCCCCCGCCCCTCTTCAGCGCATCCGATACTCCCCCCTTGTTCTGCCTAATTTCAACCCGCTGGCAGTCAGGCCGGGGTGCATGTATGCGCCAATTGCTGCGTCGCCTGCTTGGCAGCCCCCCAGCAGGGGGCGGCTCGCCGCGGACCCTTGTGTCTCACCAGTGGCGGACTGGACGCTGGAAGGATGGTGAGGGTCATGATGTCCCAGCCTACTTGGGCCTGAATCGCCAGAAGGAGCTTCGAACACCGAGGAAGCACCGGAACTGGAGGGTCTTCACGTGTCGGGCTCTGGGGGGCGGTATTCGTTCGACACTTCGCCAGGGTGTCGGGCAGACACTGTTTCGATACCTTTCCGGGTGCTCGAAAGGAGTCTTGGGAGGTGGCCCGTAAGTACGATGCGAACAGCATCAGGTGATGATGGCCCTGTTTTGCACCACCACCACCACCACCACAAGCTGGAGAGGGAAGGAGGTGGAGGATGAGGAGGAGAAGGAAGAGGAGGAGGAGGAGGAGGAGGAGGCCCCCCTCCCCCTCCTAGTTATGGCAGTGGTGGTAAAAAAGCAAGCCCACCAAGGCGAGGGGAAGAGGGGTCGGGGACGGCGCGGGCCGCACCGATGCGGAGGCGGGCCGCCGCGGGCTTCGAAGGCGGCGGGCGGCGGGTTGAGCGAGGGGCAGAGGGAGGCTGCGAGGAAGGGGGGCGTAGGAGGGAGGTGGAGGTAGACTGGGAGGAGGAGGATTGGGAGGAGGAGGATTGGGAGGAGGAGGAGGAGGAGGAGGAGGAGGAGGAGGAGGAGGAGGAGGAGGAGGAGGGGGATTGGGAGGAGGAGGAGGAGGAGGAGGAGGAGGAGGAGGAGGAGGGAGGAGGAGGAGGAGGAGGAGGAGGGAAGAGGAGGAGGGAGGGAGAGGAGGAGGAGGAGGAGGAGGAGGAGAGGAGGAGGATTGGGAGGAGGAGGGGGATTGGGAGGAGGAGGAGGAGGAGGAGGAGGAGGAGGAGGAAGAAGAGGAGGAGGAGGAGGAAGAGGAGGAGCAATATGGTAGCATCGGCAACAGGAAGAGAACGACAACGAGGGAAGCGCGAGTAAGGGCAAGGGTAGGAAGAACAGGTGCAGCAAGAGTGCAACCGCAAGGAAAAGACGCAGGAAAATTGAGAGGAGCAGGCTGTTACGGGCACGGCGAACGCAACAGTTGGAGGCACATGCACACAGACGAGGTTCGGGGGTCAAAGGGGGGCCCCTGCATAATAGTAATTTCGGAAACGTGATGAATGAGTGATGAATGATGGTTGGATTTCCTTTGGCGGCTTCACATCTCGCAACGGGCATCTGCACTTGAAGCCCGCACATCGTCGCAGAAGCCTGGAGGGCGAGCGTCACACAGTGCATTCAAACATGGGCGCGACAGCGCCTGGGCGATGCCACTGGCCAAGTCACTGCGGCCCAGGCGCGCACGCAATGGCGAACGAGCGGAACGGGACGAAGACGGTGTGGCCGTAGTCGAGCGTCTGGGTGGCCGCCAGCTTGCGCCACTGCAGGTCGCGCCACTTCTGCCGATCGGAGTGGTTTGGCATCCGCCCGCCGCGCCTGCGGCGGACCCAACGCGTCACCACAGACCACACGGACTCAATCCCGCCAGTGGTGAAGCCGCGTGGGCTCTTGACCTCGCCCGCGGAGTGCACCGCCAGCTCGTGGCTGGTGTCCCTCGCAGTCCACCCCTTGCTCTTCCTGAGCGCCTTGAACGCGGAAGCCGTTGCATCCTCCCAGGAATCGCTCGCCAGGGTGGCCCTTCTGCGCATGCCGAGCAGGCGGAGATTGGTCAGCATTTCCTTGTGCCCGCGGGGCTGTCCCTCGAAAGCGCCGATCGGGCGACCCAGAATGCAGAGGAACCGTTCCGCAGACCCACGCCTGGTCTTTGCAAGGGCGGGCTGCCCTCAGGAGGGCGCCAGGTTTCTTCTTGTTGAGGTGCGCCTCGCCCACCTGCGCCGCGAGCTTGAGTTTGGATACGTCGCCCCTCTCGGTCAGCGCGACGCCCGCCTTCTCATTCTGCGCCGCCGCCTTCGCAGCAAGATCGTCCGTCTGCTTAGCGAGCGAGCTCTTGCCGCGGTTTCTCGGCCGCAGCCGCGCCCGCTGGTTTCTTGCCCGCGCTCGACCAGGACACAGATTTAGACATGATGCCGCCGAGCGCCTTCGCCACCTTTCCTTGGAAGAGCGACGCACAGCGGTCAACCGTGTTGCAGGTCACGCCCGACCGTCGGTGCGTCAGCTGCCGAGGGTAACCCATGACCCACATGGCCAGAATGGCAAAGAGTTGTTCACATCACGACCCATGGACGCCTTGCAGACTCGAACCAGCAGTCGTAGACGCATGGCCGTCCGACTTGCACGACGCATGCTTCCGAATCGCACTCACAGCAGCGCCACGCCCGGTTGTCGCCACGCGCACTCGGGGCACCCGTGCGACGTTCGCAGGAAAACCATGGCCTGCGCGAAGATGAGGACTAGCGGTGTCGAGTTGTTGGCCACAGTACCCGTGTCTTTGACCCTCGCGTACTTCACGTTCCATAAGTGCTCCCTGCAGTTGGAGGCCAGATCTTTCAACGAGGCGCGGTGCTCTTGCATGCGGCGTGCTCTTGTGATTGAGTGTAAAGAGCGAGGAAAGATTGTGGCGGTCCTGTCGGTAGCCCAGCTTCCAGGTATCAATATATTTCCGGGCCGTGTTCGTTTCGTTCGTCCAGGTATTCGTTTTGTTGTGCGCTTCCTGGGCGTTCCGCATGCGCTTATTGGAGCGTCTCCTGTGGACACGCCACGGAAGAGAAACGTTATCTAGTGCCACGCAGAAGTGGCGCCACGCGCAAGCAACACATAACACGCGGTGATAAAATGTGTCCGAGTCTTCTCGCTTCTGCGTGGCAATAATTGGATGTCGGGTCGTGGCGTGGTGCTTGTATGCTGCGCAAGGGTCCGCAGGGCATCTTCTTTCTTGCTGCGGTATTCCGTCGTCGAGCGGGCCGCGCCGCGGACCTTGTCAGAGGCCGCGCGGCGAAACGTCGCCACCAATTTGAAGTCATGGTTGTGGTTTTGTATTTTCGGTTTGCTTTGAGCTTTCTGTCGCGCTGCTCGGCGTCCTTGTCCAGGTTGCCCATGGCTCCAAGCAGTGGCGTTCTTCCGGGGCTGTGGGCCTAAAAGCCTTTGCCCGCTACACCCTCCCATCCTCCTCCCATCTTTCTTTCCCCCTCCTTCATTGGAACGCAATGCGATTGAAGCGCAATGCGATTTCAACGCAATGCGATTGCAACGCAATGCAATGAAGAGGAGGGAGGAGGAGGAGGAGGAGGAGGAGGAGGAGGAGCGAGCAAGGAGGGGAGGGGGGGGAGGGGGAGAGGAAGGGAGAGGGGAAGACGGGTTAATCCAAACTGTTCCTTCCCGCCTGCTTTTCTTCCTCCCCCTCCTCCTCTTTTTCCTCCTTCTCCTCCTCCTCCTCTTCCTCCTCCTCCGCCTCCTCCTCTTCCTCCTCCTCCTCCTCCGCCTCTTCCTCCTCCTCCTCCCTCCTCCTCCTCCTCCTCCTCCTCTCCTCCTCCTCCTCCTCCTCCTCCTCCTCCTCCTCCTCCTCCTCCTCCTCTCCTCCTCCTCCTCCTCTCCTCTTCCCTAATCCTACTCCCCCCCCTCCACCCCCAGCTCCCCCCCCTCCCCTTACTTCTCCTCCTCCTCGTCCGCCTCCACCTTTACAACTACTCAATATGAATACTACTCTCCCTCTTCCCCTGATGGCGTGCTGGGAGTGGCCGACCCCCCCCCCGCGTATTGTTTTTTTACACAGGATTCCCGGGAGTTGGGTTTTCGCCTGCGTTTTTTTTCAAAATGCTGCTCTCGCTGAGGCGCCGGCCTCATTTCTGCTCCCGAATCGTTCCGAATCGTGCTCCCGCTGCAGCGTGGGCCTCATTTTCGGATCGGTGTTTGGCCTCCGTCGTTCAGGATGGCGTTCTCGCCCCAGCGCGGGCCTCTTTCTCGCGCGCCCATCCGCCCGCCACCACCGTGCGCGCACCACCACCACCACCACCACCACCACCACCACCCACCACCACCACCACCACCACCACCACCACCACCACCACCACCACAACCACGCACACACGCACGCACGCACGCACGCGCACCACCACCCACTACGCACGCGCGCGCGGAGCCACAGGTCCGCTACGACACGCGTCCGCGGATAGAGAAAATCAGCGCCATGGTAAGGGATGGGAGGGAAGGGTAGGACGTCAGATATGACGCGAGCGCACCTAGCTTGTCCTCCTCCCCCTCCCCCTCCTCCAACTCCTTATCCCTTATCCTCCTTTTCCTCCTCCTCCTCCTCCTCCTCCTCCTCCTCCTCCTCCTCCTCCTCCTCCTCCTCCTCCTCCTCCTCCTCCTCCTCCTGGGCGGTGGCAAAAGCAACGCAATGAAAACGCAAGGACGAAAGCAAACAAAACAAAGAAACAACAACATTAAAAAATGACGTCGGGGAAACATCTGAGGGGGGATGCCCGGGTTTGCCCGAAATCACGGTTTGTTTGCTGTTTGTGTGTTTGCCATGTTTGTGTGTTTGGTATGTTTTTAATGGTCCCCGCTGTTTTCGCAACGACGCCGATTTCTCGCAGGCGCCCGTGCGCGTTCGGAAAGGAAGGGGGGGGAGGCAGAGGAGTGGAGAGAAGTAGTATGGATGCAATGAAAAGGGTTGTGAAATTTCCCACGCGGGTCCCGCACGGGAGTCCCATGGTAGGCGGAGGAGGAAGAGGAAGATGGAAGAGGCCTGAGTGGTTCACGCCCGCTGCCGCGTCTGCAGGGGGCCCCCCTCCTGCGGCCCCGAAGCCACACGGACAGCGCGCGATGGCGCTGGCGAAGCGCCTGCCTGGACGGCCGGGCGGGCGGACAGCTCGCAGGAAGGAGGGCCCTTGGCGGGCGGGCGGGCGGCGAGTGGGCAGGCAGGCGGCCGCAGGCGGGCGGACAGGCCGCAGTGGGCAGGGCAGGCGGGGGGCCCGACGCGGCGGGCAGGCCCACCCTTGGCGGGCCCGCGGGCCCCACGGGCGGACCCCGGCGGGCCCGGCGGACCCCGGCGGGCCCGGCGGGCGGCCTTCCGCGCAGCGACTCGGGCGGTCGGGCGCGCGGCCACCGGCCCTCGAGGCGGGCGGGCCCCGACGCGGCGGGTAGGCAACCCAGACATGGTCGCGTCGTTTTTAAAACAAAAAAAGAGAGAGAGAGAAAAAAAAAAAAAAAATGAAAAAAAAAAAAAAGGTTTTTGGTTATTTTCGGCCCCGCCGGCGGCCTCCGCCGGGCCTCGGGACTGTCAAGAAACGATCCGGGACGAGAAACCGGTCCCGGGGACAGGGTCGGGATTTCCAGGGACGCCGTCCTGAAAAGATCCAAACAAACAAAAAAGCACGGTGGGAAAAAACACACAAAAAAAACACAAAAACACTCAGATTTCTGTGTTCAGATTTCTGTGTTTTTGTGTTTTTTGTTTTCTTTCCCACAGACGTCGCATCGTGTGGGGCTCGGACCCCTGACGCGGGGTGCGGGCGAGCTGGGCGAGGGGGCCCCGAGAGGCGGGCCTGGAGACGGGCCAGGGGCCACGCGGGCGAGCTCGCCGGCGGAGCACGACGGACGAGCGAGCGGGCGGTTTCTCTCGGGCGGCGTGGCAGTGCAGGCGCTCACCGAGGCGGGCGAGCGGACCCCGACTGGCGTCTGCGACGACGACGACGACGACGACGACGACGACGACGACGACGACGACGACGAGAAGAATGTCTTCCCCACGACCAGATGCGCAAGCAGCACCGCTGCCGCCCTACCATCCCTGACCATCACTAGCAGGACGACGCAACGAACCACCACCGGCAGCACCATGAGTGGGCCGCCAAGGCGGGCCAGGACAAAGGCGAGACGCTGAGGCGAGCCAGGACGAAGAAGGACAGCCCAAACAGGCCAGTACGCAGCGAGATCGCCGACTCGGAACGGACGAAACATGAAGGGAGAGCAAGGTGTCTCAGAAGCAGGCGGCGTAAGCGGAGCGGCCAACGTTGGCCAGGACGAAGCGGGTTCGGACGGAGCAGATTCGGAGGAGGCGTGCCCAGGCGGTGCGGGCCAGGACGAAGTAGGCCATGACGAATCGGGCGTGGGGCGAGGCAGGTCGAGGCGAAGAGGGCCGGGTCGCAGTGGGGTCGGGACGAAGCGGGCCAGGACGAAGCGGGCTTGGTCATAGCGGGCTCGGGACGAAGGTGGCTTGTTTTGGGCGGAGTAGTGGGAAGAGAGAGAGAGAGAGAGGAAACAAAAAGAGGAAAAGAGAGAGAGAGAGAGGAAGCAGGAGGAGGAAGGATGGCACAGAAAAGGACGGAGGAGGGAGGAGAGAGGAGGCGAAGGATAGGGGGGAGGAGGGGGGCAGGGAAGAGGGAGGAAGAGGAGGACGAGGATAAGGAAGAGAAGGATGAGCACCACGAGGGGGAGGGTCAGCAGCAGCAGCATGAGGGATGGCAGAACGCACACAGGCTTCTGTGTCGCGGGCGGGGGAGCAGGACAGGTGGGAAGGAGGAGCGCGCTCGGGCAGCTCAAGGGCGCAGGGTGTGACGGATGGAGGTGCCGGAGTGGCAGGGGGATGTGTGGGGGAGGTGTTGGGGGGAAGCAGCAAAAGCGCGTGGGCACGAAAGGGGCGCGAGAACAGGGCACGGAGGGAGGGCCAGAAGAGCGGCAGGCAGGGGGGAGCAGCCAAGGGAGGGCAGGGGCAATCAATCGTAGGAAGGAAGGGAGGGGGAGGAGGACGAGGAGGAGGAGGAGGAGGAGGCGAAGGAGGGGAGCATGAGGGGGAGCTGGGAGGAGCGCCACTCGCTCCCCAGGCCCGCCATCGGAAGTTGAGACAGGGCTGGAGGTCCTGTGTGACTCTGGGGGGGCGGCTTGTGGTTGATAGCCGACCAAGCTTCCTGCATTCGGGCTCTCCTCCTTGACATAGTGCGGTGGCTTAGGTGAATCGCGGGAAGGGGCGCCAGTCCAGCTCATTGACAGCAGCTTGTTGCGAATAATTCTGTCAGCGCTCCCCTGCTCATGGAAAGGATGCGGCTGCAAGAGACGGACACGTGGGATCGGACATGAAGCGTCGAAAGCGGTCATTCGAATGTTTGCCCTTGAGTCTCGGGGGATAACGTGCATGATTTGCCTCACAACACTTCCTCGAACAGAACGGTCTCTGTCGAATAAATTTAGAAATCTGAATGGGTCGGGAAGCATATGTTGCAGTTGCGCTCCAAGACGCTCGCCAGTAGTTCAAATGAGAAGAGTGCGAACGAGGAGGAGGAAGAGAAGGAGAAGGAGGCGAAGGGAGGAGAAGGAAGCTGATCTACCAAGGAGTGCTGCTTTAGGAAGCGAAGGCAGCTAAACATGACCCATGCCGATTCTGATCACCAAGCTCGGGCATTCAAAACAAACTTGAACGGCGGCATCAATATTGTTATGGCGCGCGCACCAGGAACGTGGCTCGCAAATGGTTGTCCGAATGGTGTCGTTTGCAGTACGACAGCGATGTTCGTATGCTTGCTAAAGTTGTAATTACGCGAGCTCCTCGAACAACACCTGGTGCACTGGCCAAACAGCTGCTGTACCTGCATCGCATGTGTTCCTGCCGATGCTACGCGCCTACGGAGTTGAAGTTATTTGTTCACCGGTGGTGGCGCCAGGCTTAAAGACGGGCTTTGGCTTCGCAACGTCGCCGCGGCGATGACACGTCGGCAGTTCTGGAAGGAGCCCTGGGTGTTTTTGCCGACAGGCCGATCGGGGAACGCTTATCCGTGAAATTTAGACTTCTCACCTCTGAAGCGGAAGTTGTTCTCATCGCGCGGAGGGTGATGCAGCAAGTTGAGAAAGAGGAAGAGGAGGATGAGGAGATGGAGGAGAGGGAGGAGCGTCTGCAGTTTGCGTTCTCGTAATTCGGCCTTTCCTCCTCCTCCTCCTCCTCCTCCTCCTCCTCCTCCTCCTCCTCCTCCTTCCTCCTCCTCCTCCTCTCCTCCTCCTCCTCCTCCTCCTCCCTCCCTCCTCCTCCTCCTCCCCTCTCTCCCTCCTCCTCCTTCCTCCTCCTCCTCCCTCCTCCTCCTCCTCCTCTCCTCCTCTTCCTCCATCTCCTCCTCCTCCTCCTCCTCCTCCTCTCCTCTTCCTCCTCCTCCCTCCTCCTCCTCCTCCTCCTCCTCCTCCTCCTCTTCCTCCTCCTCCTCCTCCACGGGGCCAGTTCTGGAGAGCTCCGTGGCCCGAGCTGCACGGGCGGAGCTGCCCAGCCCCCGCGGGGAGAGCGCTGCCTCTTCGGCCCGCCTCTGTATATTTTTTATAGACTCCTCGTGTGCTCGGACGTGCTGCCTGCGCTGTCGAGCCCCAGACCCCCTCGAGTAATGAAAAAATCATGACGGGCTGTTTTTCCTAATTTTCGGCCTCCGGGGGCCCTCACCGGGCCTCGGGAGCGTCAAAAAACGACTCAAGATGCAAAGCTGGTCATGGGGAAAGGGTCCAGCCCTCTGGGGGTCGACGTAACGAAAAAAACATTACGTCGGGGGTCTGGGGCTGCAGCTCTTTGACGTCGGCCCGTCTGAGCACGCCTGGGCTATCTATCCCCAGAGGGGGGGGGGGCAGTCGTCAATCCGAAGGTCGGGACTCCTCGTGTGCTCGGACGTGCTGCCTGCGCTGTCGAGCTGCAGCTGTTTGCCGTCGGCCCGTCTAAGCACGCCTGGGCTATCTATCCCCAGAGGGGGGGGCAGTCGTCAATCCGAAGGTCGGGACTCCTCGTGTGCTCGGACGTGCTGCCTGCGCTGTCGAGCTGCAGCTGTTTGCCGTCGGCCCGTCTGAGCACGCCTGGGCTGCTCCAAGCCCCCCGACACCGAATGAGGCGATTCGGACCACAACACACATACACATCATCGAGATAGGCCAAGGATGTCTGCCCCTGACAGTAGCCGTCTCCGTATTTCAGGCACGGCTGGGTGCCGTGAATGCGCCACCTCGCTCCCCGCAATCATCAGAATCATGTGCGTTTTGCCTTTGTCTCCCACCCACCGTCTGCGTACCGTACCATTGATTTTATCAATCATGCAGTTCTGGATTGAGCACAAGTTGTTCAAACATCCGTGCACGGTTGACGTGGTCATAGGCCCCACCCCGTCGATTTTAAGAATGTTTTTTTGGGGTGAGTATCTGTCAACTAGCGCAACCTATGGATAGTTGCAATCCTGGGATGTCCGGAGCGTCGTCGCGAAAGTAGATGTATCCAGCACTAGTGCGTGGTTGTGTCGGCGCGAAAGCAGATAATTCTTGCGGGGGTGGTTCTGCAAGTTATGTTGGGCGTAATTCGGGATGTTGGAGTTGATCCAAAGTTCTTTGAGTATCCGGAGCATTCCCTGAGGACGTCAAACCCTTAGTTGCGTGGCTCATTTAGTTCTCGAGCACTTTTAGTTTCACACATTTGTGTCTGAGCTGCTCGGTGTTGTCGATCTTTTCGTTGTCGTGTATGTCGTTGGCCTGAAGCCTCCAGTAGTAGATTCCACTCTCAAATGTTGAATTGAGCGAGCCATTTCCTCAACTCTTGTGCTCTGGCATCCCTTCCGCAGGACGTGTGTTGAAATGACATTTTGGGGGAACAGAATCAAGAGCGCCTATGGTAATGTGCAGTTTTCGGTGAAACAACGTTCCTCTCAAGCCATAGTTGCCGTTTGCACTGCTGAACAATGTGTAAGAATATGTAGATATTATTGTTGTATACAATGTGGTATTGCTTTGGATGTTCGAGGTTTACCAACCATTCCCATCCATCGGGAAGGTCACGGATGGAGGCGCAGGAAGACGTGAAAGCACACGTGGTCATACACCGGCATGAAAAGAAATGCCAAAGTAGCCCAAACAATATTCCGACCGTAGCGGCTGCCCCGGTGGAGCCGCAACTCACGCAATGGGAGCGTGCACAATTGGAGGTGCTCCGGGCCTTACAGACAGGTGGGCGTGGTGCGCTCCGCAATATGGCGGCCAATGCCCACACGACAGACACGGCGTTCCTATACCATCTCGCTGGTTTGCCAGCCCCGCTGCCCGGTGCGGCAGGGTATGCTCCGTATTAGTACATGCGGTGACCCAGGAATTGGTGCATGCTCGGTTTGACGAGCATTTTCAATATCGTGGGCACGACGGCACGTACGCATGCAATATAATCACTACGGGCATTGGTTTGGTTGGCACGTCTACTCCCCGGGCAGAAATCTTGGCAATTGTATGTTATCATTGTAACGGGATGGCCCCTATTTGTTATGGCGGTTCAAGTACAAAGCCGCCAATGACATCATCCACGGCTACTGCTTACCACGGTATTGTTCCGACTCCGGATTCCGACGGGATCGCCATCTCCATCGGGATCAGTATTGCCGGCGGCATTCAGGGCAATACCAACGATTACGCAGGGGCGGGTAATAACATACGGCGACAAAATTGGTACCAATACGGATGCGACATCCACGGTCCGCATGAGGGAGGAAAGAGGATGATATAATAGAATATGTTCTTTTCTTTACCAATCCGATTGTCGATTTCCTTCATCTTGGTTTGGTTTTCCCGGCTCCTGCCCCGATCCCGGCAATTCCCAGAACATTAACGACGACCTCCGGGGAAACCCCAAAGGCTTACACATAACAAATACGCAGGCCGATATTGCGAGTGGGGGACTTCGAGAACTACCGCGGTGTCCCCGCAAGAACCTTTCCGCGGACATTCCACGAGATGTTCCTACGAAAGGGCCCCAAATAAGAGCCACAAAAGGGCCCCACGCTAGAGACCAAAACATTTCGATGAAAAATCCTGGAGACGTCGAAGATCAACAGCAGGATACCAAAGCAACGCATGTGTATAAGGGTCACACCTACGGCGTGGATATCATCATCGTTCTTCCGGCCCCGCTCCCTATCCAATGCCCGATGGATTTCCGACTCCAGAGCCCGACCGTCGTCGAAGACCAACCTCGGATGTTGAAATCACTTTGTTCTCCGACCTTACCGCGGTGTCGGACTTAGGTTCTGGATTCCAGCTCCGGGCCCGGAGCCCGAATACAACGAGATATGGTGGTACAGTGCAGCTATGCTTCCCAGCTCCGGCACCCCAAGATGCACAATTCACTATATGATAGAGCGCGCGTGTGGGGCCCGATAGACTAAAAGAGAGGCCCCAGCTTGAAGCTACCCCCTCCCCCCTTCCTTGCTAAAGGAGGGGGGGAGCTTCGGAAGCCCCCTCTCCCATCCCCCCTTTTTCGTGGTTCGGAAAGGGTGGGGGGACTTCCAAGCTACCCCCCCCTCCTTCCCTTTAATTGAACCGGGGTGAGCCACCCTCGCCTTTTGAAAGGGGGGGACTTCGGAAGCTACCCCCCCCTTCCTTTTCGTGGCCGGAAAGGGGGAGGGGGGGGCTTCCAAGCTACCCCCCCCCCTCCCTCCTTTTAATGGAGCTGGGGTGAGCCACCCCTCCCTTTTGAAAGGGGGAGGGGCTTTGGAAGTTCCCCCCCCCTCCCTCCCTGGGTGCAAAGGGGGGGGGGGCTTGAAGCTCCCCCCCCCTTCCCCCCTTTGGCCGCACAGTTCCCGGAGATATCGCCCTCCTTTTCGCCTTTATTTACTCCCGCCCCTCTCCCTCCTCCTCTTCTCCTCTTGTTCCTCGTCCTCCTCATCCTCTTCATAGTCATCATCGCCTCCTTTTCCTCCTCGTCCTCCTCCTCCTCCTCGTCCTCCTCCTCCCCCTCCTCCTCCTCCTCCTCCTCCTTCTCCTCCTCCTCCTCGTACCCCTCCCCCTCCGCCTCCCCCATCCTCCGCCTCCTCTTCCCCCACTGGCCGCCGTCTTACACGAACACGGGCTGGCGTTCTCCGAATTACATTTCGTGCAATTTTCGGGAGGGGATAGTATTTCTCCCAACCCTTTTT